ATTCACCAGAAGAGTAAAAAGGGAATCCACAAAATGGGAAAAAATATTTTGCAATGACACATTAGACAAGGAAATCATTTCTAAAATATACAGGAACCTACAATACTTCTATAAGAAAATGACAAATAACCCAACAAAAAAATGGGCACAGGACATAAACAGACACTTCACCAAGGAGGAGATCCGGGCAGCCAACAAATGTATGAAGAAATGTTCACAATCACTAGCTGTTGTTATTGTTGTTCGGTGCCATCGAGTTGGTACCAACTCATAATGACCTTATGTACAGCAGAATGAAACAAGCCCAATCCTGGACCAACCTCAAGTGTTGCCATGCTTGAGTCCATCAATGCTGCCACTTGGCCTATCCATCTCGTTGGGGGTCTTCCACTTTTTCTCTGACCCTCTACCTTACCAAACATGATATCCTTCTCCAGCGAATGGTCCCTCCTGAAAATATGTCCAAAGTATGAGAGACGACGTTTGGCCATCTTGGCCTCTAAGGAGCACTCTGGCTACACTTCTTCCAAAACAAATTTATTGGTTCTTTTGGCAGCCCATGGCACTTTCAATATTCTCCTCCAACACCATAACTCAAAAGCATCAATTCTTCTACGGTCTTCCTTATTCACTGTCCAGCTTTCACATGCATATGAGGTTATTGAAAACACCATGGCTTGGGTCAGGCGCACCTTAGTCCTCAAGCTGACATCTTTGCTCTTCAACACTTTTAAAAGATCTTGTACAGCAGATTTACCTAATGCAATATGTAATTTGATTTCTTGACTGCTGCTTCCCTGAGTGTTGATAGTTGATCCAAGAAGAATGAAGTCCTTGACAACTTCAGTCTTTTCTCCATTGATAAGAATGTTGTTTATTGGTCCAGTGGTGAGGATTTTTGTTTTCTTTACATTGAGAGGTAATTCATACCAAAGGCTGTGCTCTTTGATCTTCATCAGTAAATGTTTTAAGTCCTCTTCACTTTCAGCAAGCAAAGCTGTATCGTCTGCATATCGCAGGTTGTTAATGAGTCTTCCTCCAATCCTGATGCCACGTTTTTCTTCATAAAACCCAGCTTCTTGGATTATTTGCTCAGCATACAGGCTGAATAAGTATGGTGAAAGAATACAACCTTGTCACACACCTTTCTTAATTTTAAAACATTGTGTTCCCATGTTCTGTTCTAACAACTTCGTCTTGGTCCAGGTACAGATTCCTCACGAGCACAATTAAGTGTTCCAGAATAATCATACTTCACAATGTTGAATGTTCATAGAAGTACTATTTACAATAGCAAAAAGATAGAGACAGCCTAAGTGCCATCAATTGAAGAATGGATTAACAAACTGTGGTAATACACACAACAGATTATTATGCTACCTTGAAGAACAACAAGGAATGTTGTTACCACCACATAACATGGATGAACCTTGAGGACATTATGTTGAATGGAATTAGTCAGTCACAAAAGGAGAAATACTTCATAGAACCACTACTGTAAAAGACTAAGAAAAAGAACCCACACTAAAAGGAGGGTGAAAAAGAACTCTTTGCTGGTTACAGGGATGTGGGGAGTGGGGTGACAGGTGGGAGGGGAAGGTGGGAGAACAGGGTAGGGAATAGACACAGGATAGTTTGGGTGCTGGGGGGGGATGATAAACAAGAAGTGGGAGGGGAATGGAAGAATAAGGCAGATGGGAGAACAGTTAGGAAGGTTTGCATGGGCTAACTGGAACAGAGGTAAACAATGATGTATGCATAACCTTGGAACAACACGGCTCTGGGATACAGGGATTGAGGCATAGTTTGAATGAGTAAAAGGGTGAAATAATGTTAAGATGCTTGGCTGTCTTTTGAATCTTTGTTTCCCTTGGATACCAATGTAAAGTATACACTTGAAAGGGAGAGAAAGGGATGGCTAGAATTATCACCATAGACAGCTTGTAAGTCTGTCTTCTGCCTATAACTGATTGGAATACCTAAAATGGGGCTACAACGTGCCCAATGAAGAAGGCTTCATGCCTCTGCATTGCTTAAGACCATAGGTGGACTCCTGAACCCCATCCAGAATCTTCTGAGGTAGGAAATTTCCCTGGAAAAGATAAGCAGACAAGCCTGGAGCAGCTAGAAGAACAGAAGATACTTCTTGAAAGAAAAGTCAACAGGAAAAATACAAAACAATAACGGCAGTCCGACTGACTACTACAAGAACAAGTAAGTTGCTCACCCAGGAGATATCAAGGCAAGTGGTTGGGTCCCCTCAGGGAAAACTCCCTTCCAAGACTTAGACTCAAGGGGAATACTCGAGCAGACATGCGCTCTCTGACTGGTGACCACGTTGGTCTCCGATAAGGGGAAGTAAGGGAAAAACAGCAATGAAGCTGTAAGCTAAGTCCTACCACCTTCAATAGACTCCTGTGAACCCAGGTGGAGACCCGGTTGGTCAGCAGTGTGGCAAGACCTGGGGGCTCCTGGGTCCAGAGTCAGTGACATAGCCACAGAGGACTAGAGTGTAGAGTGAAGTATCCAACTTACAAGAATTGAGGGCATATGCACAAGAACACCCACACTTGCAGATAATATGCACAAGCATCCAACTTATAAGAATTGAGGGTTTATGCACAAGAACAAGAACACCCACACTTGACCTGGCTTCAATGACTGGATGATCAGAACTCAATTAGAAGAATAAAGAAGAGGAAAAAAAAGAGTAATCTGATACAATCTGATGATCTTCCCTCAAAAGAGGGAACAAATCTTTACAGTGAGGATCTTTCTCACCCCCTCAGTACACAGGGTAGACATGGATGGGCAATTTGGACACCGGCTATGCAAAATGGGTTGGGGGGGGGGGCTGCTACAAAGGCAAGAAGTGACTGACTTACAAGCTTTCAAAAGGGAGCCTAGATCCAGAGGGCGCGGAGGAAGGTAGAATCTCCACTGAATAGTATCCAATCTGTCTGGGCGGGACTGATGAAAGGAGATGGGGATAGGACGATTGTGGTACAATAGTGAATAATTGCTATCAGGACTGACTGTGAGGGTTGGAAATTTAAAGGTAGATGATTTGTAGCAAAAGGAAGGGAGTAATTGACTTTGCAGTTTAGGAGCGGCAGTCCCTGGGACCATCAAGGGAGAAGAACGGAGTACGGGACCCTACCCAGAGAAACAGTGATGGTAGAGATACAATGATGTGGAGAGATGGAGTGGCTGGTGACTCTAGAACCAGAGAGGGAGAGGGGCTGTGTGCTCATGACCAAGGGACAGGCTTGCAGGGTATACCCTATGGTTGGCTGAGGATGCAAGGAGGGGATTATAACCATGGCAATGTAAGGATACCCACGATAGGATGAATGTAAAGCTAATGTTCTCCCATGTAAACTATCACATAATTCACAATAAAACATTTCAAAAAAAAAGTCTATTGAAACGTAGCTTAAATAGTCTATTCTTAGTAAGAATTACTAGTTGCTGTCAAGTCAATTCCAATGACATGTGTAGAACATAGAAGAACTGCTCCATGTGACTTTCTTGACTGTAACTTCTTTTAAAGAATCAGATCACTAGGCCTTTTTCTGAAATGGGCTTGAATTGCCAATCTTTAGGTTAGGAGTTGAGCACAAACTTCTCCACCTAGGAACTTTCAACAAGAATTACAGACTTTTTAAGAAAACAGTAAGTATGTTCTCCAACTAAGGCCATGTAAAAGTTACTAACCTGTTGCTAGGGCACTAAGAAGGAATACAGTGCATTTCAAGGTAGATCCTTTTAATTAAAGGTAAAACTCCAGTTAACAAGAGTTTTACATACTAATTTGGCATGCACAAGTACCGTTTCTAAGTAAATAAAGGGATAAAACAAAATTAATCCATGTCTATTTTACCAGATGCAAACAAAATGTCACTGAGCTTCTCTAAGAAAGAACTGTTTCTATTCTATTCAAAAGTAAGCATCTATTTTCAGCACTTAAATACAAAGCCTGAGAGATGGTTATAGACAGCCTTTCCCACTGTGGTAAAAAAAAAAACAAAAAACAGACAATTCAACTACCAGTGTTTTCAGCTAACTTCAAATTGCTTCCAGATCATGGTTGACTATCTCCAAGTACTCTGTGTTCACAGAAATAAGGTTCTTGAAAATTACAGCTTACACACACTAAGACTTGCCGTGTATGTTTTGAAAGAAAAAGCTGATTCGCACCTACCTACCATTATAGGTACTTATTTTAAACAAAAAAATATTTATTTACTTCACAATGAATTTTAAGCCCCAATATTAAAATTTCTAGCCACTTTAGCTAAGTTAACATTTCTGTTTGTTCCTATTTTTATAATTATTTTTAGGGTCCAAGATAATACACTTTTAAAAAGCACATTTTCCTCCCTTATTGGGGTTTATAAATATATTTTAAAAATTATACCAATGGCCAATTCTATCATCAATTTTAATTTAAAAAAGATTCCAATTCTTTCATCCGCTGTCTACTATACTTAAGATTCCACTCTTCAATGAAACCCATGTAAAATTTGATGTTGCTTATAAAATGCCACGTTTTCACAAATTCGAATAAATGTTTGTGACACTGAACTCGACAAAAGTATGTAAATAATTTCTAGTAAGTATTGTCTGATATTGAATGTTTTAGATGCAATTGTAGTATGTACAAATAATTCTTCATATTAATGATTACCTGAAATTCACCATATTTTTACTGTATTTATTACAATTTAAAAGATTATACTGAGGAACTTGGAAGCTGGAAATAAGTTTTTACCCAACAAATGAAATCTCGAACTGTTCTCTCAAGTTATTTCACACTTGAATTTTAAATATATTGCATGAAAACCTTTTTAAAAGCACCAATTCAACTCACATGGGAGAGTAAAAATATTTATTTATAATTATTTTCAAATTGCACATGAACAGTTCAACCTGAACCCATTCTAGTAGTTAACACTAACCATTAAGTGATAGGTAGAATAAAGTGACTGAGTTGTTACCTCTGAGATGAGAGCCCATACAAGCCTCCTCGCAAGCATCACTGTGATGAATGCTGCCAGGTGATAATCAATGAGATGAAAATTCTGGAAAAGACAAACAAAAAACTGCATCAGGAAGAAATACGAGGTGTGTCCAGCTGGTACTGCTACATGAATAGAGGTTTATCCCTCAAAAGATCTTTTTCACATCACCTTACACTTACAACAATCTATAGGACAGAAGAAAACTGCTCCACAATGCTTCTGGACACTTGGAGAGATCTTGAAGAAAGCCCCTACCTGTTACTTCTCTTTTTCTGGCAAATTGCTCTAACTTTCCATTAAGCTATTTTTAACTATTTGGAATGTATTCCTCTTTTTAAAAAATAAATGGTATTACTAATTAACAAGTAATAATTTTCAGAATTATGACAAGACTAAATTGATCTAAACTGACATTTACACTGAATATCAAATTTAACAGACCAGTCTTAAGAAGTTACTGTTGTTGGTTACAGTTATCTAACTGGGTATTTGTAAAACTAAACTCTGTACTAGCTGACACATTAATTGCATTCCATTAGCCTTTTCCCTAACTTGACTTCGGAATATGTCTTATAGTTGATCTTTTCTTCTATAAATTGACAGCATTATCTGGATGTTGTCTAGGGTTCCTTCTAGTTCTAAGTTTGTATATTCAGCTGAGATAATAAAATGGAAAGCTTTATAGCAATATCATCTCATGAACCAACAAAATGGAGATGTATTGGCTGAATTTCTCAATTAATTCATTATAAATATTTAATAATCCTGGAGGCAACAACTGTAGCAAAAGCTTCCTGATTACAGAAACTACACTTGGCACCCTTTGCTTCAAGACAACAGTTGTAGGTGATTTTTGGAGAAACCCTGCTCAGAAATGGTCGACTTGAAGAAGAGGTGACTCATCTGAAAGTTCAGCAAATGAGAAGATTCCAGGGCATTGTCAAACAAAGAGTAAATTTTATAATGAACTAGACAACACATAGTTGTGGAGTACAAACAGGATTAATATAGGAAAAGAAGGCATAGTGAATAGGCATGGATTGTGGGGTCACTTTGTCACTGTGTGATACTGAGTCAATTTCATAACTTCTAGGCCCCACATTCTTCTTTTATTAAATGGGAGTCAGATAGCAGCACCTATCTGCTTTTTAAAAACTAATAAATAATGTGAAGAGATGGAGCAGTTGGGGACTCTAGACCCAGAGAAGGAGAGGGGCTGTGTGCTGATGACCGGGAGGGACGGGGGTGGGCATGGGGCAGCCTTGTAGGATGTACCTTTTGGTTGGTTGATGATGCATGGAGGGGACTGTAACCATGGCAATGCAATTATATACGATAGGATAAGATGAATGTAAAACTAATGTTCTCCCATGTAAACTATTATATTATTCACAATAAAACATTTAAAAAAAAGAAGAAGAAATGAGATAACACTTGTAAAGAATATACTAAATATTTTACTAAGTGCTGGTCACTGTTAGCATGAAGATGGTAAGGAATTTACTTAGAGAGGACATATCTGGAAGAAGTAAACAACAACAAAAAATTCATACTAAATATTAAAATCCTTAAATACAGACACTGAAATTTTCTTTAAGAAGGTAAATGTTCAATATAGAAAGAATATTCTTAATGTTTCATTCCAGGCACAATCTAGTAGTGATACAAACATTTTAAATAGCCCCTTCAGCCCTGAGGTCAGAACTAGATGGTATCTGGCTACCACAACTGACCATCCTAAGCAAGGCCACAACAGATGGACCCTGATAGAAAGGGAGAAAAACATAAAACAAAACCCAAAACTCCTAACGAACAAACAAAAACAGAATAACTAGACTGGTTGAGATGGGAGGGCTCCCCAAGACTACTGCCCCGAGATCATCTTCAAACTCTGAACTGAAACTAACCACTAAAGGCCACATTATAGGTAAATAATAAACTGGCTCAACAAATAATGAGTATCATCTGTAAGAACTTTGCTCCTTTAAGAAGCACCTGTATGAGGCCAAACAATGAACAATTACATTAAAACAAAGATGAGAATGTTAAGGCGGCACCAAAAATAAAATGAAAAAATATATATATTTTTTTAAATAATAATTTTTTATATTTCTTTCCCATACCATAATGAGAATTTTGGTCCACATTCCCTTTCCGTGTTCACCAAGTCAAAATTTCCCAGTTTTTTTTCTAAGTCCTAGCACATTCATAAAACTGTTGTGGTCTGAGTTCCATCAAGTTGATTCCGACACAGAGCTACCCTGTATAGAGTTTCTGAGGAGCAAATGGTGGGTTTAAACCTCCAACCTTGTGGTTCAAAGTGACCTTGCAGTCCAATGCATTATCCTAAAGCACCAGTCACACCAGGACATAACACTACAGAGGGACAACAGTATTCTTTCTCCTAGAGCGTATTTCTATCACCATCTATATTTGCCATTTCCAACTGCGTACTAGCCTTTGTTGTTGTTGATAAGTGCCATCGAGTCGGTTCTGACCTATAGCAACCCTGTGTAGGGTTTCCAAGGAGCAGCTGGTGAGCTTGAACTGCCAACATGGCAGTTCAAACGGCTTTGCAGTCTGGCGCATTAATCCACAGTGCCACACCAGGACTCCTTACCTACTATTTTCCATTCCCATCTATGGAGCACCTTCTTTCCATCAAGATTATAACTGTCCTCTTAAATAACTAGAAAGAAGGTGGAAGAAATCTACAATAAAATTTAAGTACAGTAGAGACAGCAAGTTGCTGACTCAAATATAGAGGAGGGGGAATAGAACCCCAGTTTTATTTAGGGTAATAGTGCACTCAGTTAATGAACTACATTTTCCAGCTTGTAGCTAGGAGAGGCTACCGGGCTAAGTTCTGGCCATTGAGATTTAAGTGAAAGTATCTGGTGCACAAAACCTTTTTAAAGTGTCAAAGAGCAAAGATGTCAGTTTGAAGACTAAGATGCACCTGACGCAAGTCAAGATATTTTCAATAACCTCATATGTATGTGAAAGCTGGACAGTGAATAAGGAAGGCCAAAGAAAAATTGTGCATTTGAATTACGGTATTGGAGGAGAATACTGAAAGTACCATGGGCTGCCAAAAGAACAAACCAATCTATGTTGGAAGAAGTGCAGCCAGAGTGCTCCTTAGAGGCCAGGATGGCCAGATTTTGTCTCTCATACTTCAGACATATTGTCAGAAGGGACCAATCACTGGAAAAGGATGTCATATTTGGTAAGGTGGAGGGTCAGAAAAAAAGAGGAAGACCCCCAGCGAGATGGATTGGCACAGTGGCAGCATCAGTGGGCTCAAACATAGCAATGATTGTGAGGTTGGCACAGGACCGGGCAGTATTGTGTTCGGTTGTGCATAGGGTCAGTATGAGTCAGTAATGACTCAATGGTGGCTAACAACAACATTACACAGGATTTTCAAATATACTTCCTATACAAAGCTGACTCAGATGAAAATGAGTGCTCTTTGGATCCTTCAATTTTCCCTACTAGAGCTTGGACAGCCATTTTTGTCAATGAGACAGTCATGAAAATGGAAATCACACAGTGGGATGGTGAGTGAGGCAGAGAAGCCTGGGTCTCTAAAAATGGGCTTGCCAACATATACCTCCAGACTTTTTTATATGAGAAATAAATTTCTCTATTTAAGTTTAAAACAGGAAATCTAATCCTGACTGACATTAACAAAACCTTTTCATTTAAAAAATGACACAGTATTTAGATTCCTCCCTTGAGGCAGAAATGTCCAACTCTTCCCTAAAGTCTGTATTCTCTTTTTCCTGCTGGACACTCAGCTTAACTATGTTTCCCAGACTTCTTTGCAATGAGGAGTGGACCCGTGTAGAAGTGATGTGAGTCTGGCCCTTAAGAAACTCTTGCTTATAGTCTTTCATGCACTTTCCCTTTTCTGACAGATATGAACCTCAATTACTGTGCAGGCCACAGCTTATAAGATGACAGAATCTCTATCATCCTGGGTCCCTGAGTAACCTCATGAAAAAAAAAAAAATGCTACTCCTCCCAACAGGACAACTCATACTGTTTTATATATATGTATATATAAACACCACACAGGGCTCGAAATGCCTTAATATTCTTACGGAGGCAGGTATTTTTAACAGTCATGTCATGACATTTTATCTCTGAAAGTAAACTATTATTTAGTACGAAAACATTTTACCCAAAATAATTTATAAACATGGGCTTTCTAACTAGCTTCTAGACCATATAGCGTGAAGAACTTAAAGGTCTACTGTAACTTACCAGTGAAGTACAAGAAGCAGGGTGGTTGTAAGGATACCACCACACCGTTTTATAGATGTTGATATACTGAATGAACAGGGCGACCAGCAAGTAGATGAAAAACAGAAATTCAAAGAGCAAGCTCCCATCCACAGGCAAATCAGGAATTTGGCAATGACGAACAGGACCTGGGGTGATTAAGGCTGTGATAGGTGGGACCGGAAGGCCAACAGTACTACCATTCCTGAAAAGAGAAAACTATGGTTAACTCAAATGATGATACCTTTTTGTACCCCAGAGCATAAAGTGCCCTGCTTCTTGTGCCACCTACCCCATAACTGTCAGTCTCCCCCTCCCCTAAGACTCCAATCTGGGATCTTCTTCTTTTTTCCCCACTATGCATTCTCTCAGTGATCATCTATGGCTGTGGGTTCTATCTCCAACTTACTAATGATGACAATTTTTCTCCATACTAAACACTGCTGAGTTCTAGACAGTTGTCAGTTGCCAACTGGACATTTCCTGGGTTCGCCTTCCTATAGTCTGATCCTAGTTTATGTGCACCTTGTTAAGCTACACAAATCAGACACCTGGGACTCATATTACAACTTTCTTTATGCTTCCTTATATCTAATCTCTCTCTAAATCTTACAGATAATACTTTAAAACTTCCTCCAAACTATCTCTTCCTCTGTAAACCCACTGCTTTAAGCATTCACCATTTTTACCTAAATTACTACAGAAAGCCCCTTAATTTCAACTCCACTCTCACCAAAGCCTCCAACCTGCCTTCAGTGATTTTTCTAAAATACAGATTTACAATGTTACTAGCGCTAGTAGCATACTAGTTATGAATCGGGTTGTGAACCGTAAGGTCAGCTACTCCACAGGAGAAAGATGAGCTTTCTGCTCCCGTAAAAATTTACAGCCTAGGAATCCCTGTTCAGAGTCGCTATGGGTCGGAACCAACTCGATGGCACTTAACAACAACAACATCCTGCCTAAAACCCTTCAGTGGTTCTCTATTGCTAACAGGATGATATCCAATTTTTTTTTTTTTAATTATGCCCTTTAAGGGACTTCTGTAATAAACTAGCCTCATTTCTTATCATACTTCCATACATGCCCTATGCAAGATCCATGCAATTTGCTGTCTGTGAATAGACCTGTTTTTGTGTGTGTGCACATAATTCTCTTTCCCTAACCACAGTCCAGGTACTACAGTCAAGATGGCAGATCAGGTAGACATGCAGTGAGGAGCTCCATCAATAACACCACGGAATACCGGGCCAAGAAGGCTCAGGGGATGGTGCTGGAACTCTGAAACACATATAAAGGTATGTTTGGAGGATTGGAGAGCTTACAGCTGGGGGAATTTGTAGGAGAATCCAGAAATCCATTGTTCAAGACGCTCTGCTGTTCCCGGAGCCGCCATCTTGGGAGAGAACATCTTGATTGTATCAAGACTGATATCGAAATTTAAAGTGACAGTTTCAACACGAAAACAAATGGCCACCACTCATCTGTCTGTCGTGCTGTGGTGGCTTGAGTTGCTGTGATTTCAGGACTATGCCACAGGTATTTTAAATAACCAGGAGAGTCACCCATGGTGGACAGGTTTCAGATGAGCT